CTTGTTTGGGTTTGTTTACGTTTTTGCTTGTTCTGTCTTTTTTTTATTGCATGGCTTGTTGTAGATGTCGTGTGTGCAGGGTATTGTCAGTATGGTATTTGTTTTCTTATATGGAAGGTTTGTAAGATTGTAGTTTGTTAAGTATGGCAACATATTTTGCTATCATGCATGTTATTTCTTTATGGAATCCAAAGTGTGCAACTACTGATATTTTTTTACTTTAATTATGTACAATGATCAAGTGCATTTTGATTCACTGTGAATAAGAAAAAATATTCTTATCTTTTGATTTAGAAAAAAAAGTTATTATTAATAATGTGGATCACGATCACTGGATAAGAATAGCTAACATAAATGAAATTCCACTAGAGTAAAACTGTTTATTAGTTTGGTTCAATAAAAGATTTACCATTACTTACTAATAAAACTAGATCTTCGAATTATGCTATCTCCTAATCTTGACTAACATTATCATGTTAACTTCCAGATGTGGATGAATGCATCCTGCAGACAGATAACTGCAACAGAACATCGCATTTTTGTGTGAACACTCGCGGCAGCTTCACTTGCCAGCAGAAAAGCGGCCCCACAGACTGCATTGCTGGCTATAAGTACAGTGCTGAGCAGAAGATATGTATAGGTATGACTGATATTTCTCTTTTTACAACCAAGGCGTTGTTATATATATCAAGGTCATTGACATTAGATAATGAATTGATTACAAAAGCATTTCTAAACGTCCTTCCTAAGGTAAGTACACTTTCTTGGACTTTACTATCTGTATGTGGGTTACGGACTTGTTTTGTTTTAGTCTGTTGTGTAGGTAATATGTGCTTCTGTGCAGAGTTCTTGTGGCTTTTCTCCTTTTAAATTACTGATTTTGTAGTGACGAATATGTTAGGGAATATGATAAAAATATACATATGGATATAATTTTGTAATTGATACCCTTTTTATTCTGGATAAGAGAGTGTTATTTGAGGTGTGACGTCCTTAACAACGTCCGTATTACCAAATTTCAGAATTCATCTACACAGCAAAATTGTATCCATTGTTTCGTCGTTTTCGGATGGCTTTAAAAACTTCGATAGTATTTTTACCAGTAAGGGTTTCTGAACAAAATCTACAAAACCTTTTTTGCAGAACTAAGAACTATTCACTGTATCATATATATAACTCTCTCCTCTTTGGGTTGCCCCCTTGCTTTTCGTTGATAAGCCAGCCCTCCAAGCTTTTAGTCTCACCTAACAGATGTGGACGAATGCGACGAAAATTTACATGGCTGTGAGCCGGAAAAGGAACAGTGCCGGAACACCGACGGGGCTTACGAATGCGACGAGAAATGTGACGAAGGTTTCCAGTTCAGCCTTGCTCTGAGGACGTGCGTTGGTAAGTACAGGCGCGGTGAGGCAAATCTTACGATGTTTTGCTTCACTTCTCTGGTATTCATTCATTCAGAGGGTAATTTGGTTTGCAATATTCATGCAAGAAAATTACTAATTATTGTTTTACCCAGTACCGCAAAACAAAGTTATGGTCATTAGGCATTTTGATTCTGTCGGAAAAGCGGAGTTTTACATATACGTGCCTATAAATAAAGGACACACACACACACACACACACACACACACACACACACACACACACACACACACACACACACACACACACACACACACACACACACACACACACACACACACACACACACACACACACACACACACACACACATATACATACACGTGTATGCAGTAAACCCTTATTCAGTAAACCTCTATGTTAGACATAGGTTACGTAACCACACCCCGCGTATATGTGCTACTCTGTGATTTGTGAAAGGTATAAATAAGGAAACACCATCAGTAAAAAAATACTCATGCACAGATATGCTCGTTTTCATAACACCAGTCAACTTTTGGCCTCTGGCGGGCACTCTATAGTTATGGCTCTGGTGGCCCTTGGCTGCGTGGGAGACATGAGCCACTTCATGATGTCTGGAAGAGCGCTGGAAAGCGTAATTCAAAAGTTCGCGTAAAATAAGGGTTTACTGAACATCTAAATTCTTGCAGAACAATTGGCAAATGTTAAATTCTACCATATCGCTTTTCGGCCCATGGGAAATGGCTTTGAATCGAAAGAATTAAGGGACATGATAGGCATTCTATAAACTCGGTTGCAATGGGGTACATTTTTATCACACTGATCTTTATTTTTGAAGAATATGTCTCATTTAAAGCAAATTAGACTATTCATCCAAATATACAATTGTCTCATTCCTTTTCCGATCTCGCATCTAATATCAAATACAAAAACAACAACAATAATGATTTTAATACTGGGGTAAGGATAAAAAAAAATTGCGGTTCCAAGAAACTTTATTTAAAAGTTGATGGGTTATAAATAAGGTATATCCGGAATACTACAGACCAAGACGAGTGTGTGGACGAACCCTGCGATCCCGGCTGGCAGTGTCACAACACAATAGGATCTTTCGTGTGTCATGAGCTGCCAAAAGCCTTCTGTCCAGCGGGATATAAACCCTTGAACGGCACCACCACAAGCTGTGAAGGTTAGACGTCACCTCCCGGCAAATTACGCTTGGCTGGCTCTTGGCGTCTACCATCCAACTTTTTCGCTTTGGCTGAAATATATTTCCTTTTCTGCTTCTTTCTCTTTTTTGATTACTACTTTCAATGGCTGTCTGTACGAAATGCTCATGTGTCTGCCTACACATTCATGTTATCATATATTCCTACTTGGTACAGCATTTTTATCTAAAGAGTGTTCTGCAAAGTCAATTGCATCAAGGAATAAAGATTTTTTTTCCTTCTTGCATGCCAATGCCATATAATATATTCCTTGTATACAGGTCTACTTGATGGTTAAAAAAGGTATTGAGGGCTGTAATAATTAATAAATTCCAATGCCACCTTGCATAAATCATATTCCATTTTCTTATCTTCTTTACCTGCCTATGGTGTTTGAATGTTTTTAAAAATATTTATGCTGACCGTGCATTTCTCATAAATGCCACAACCCTTATAAATGCCGATGCTAAACCTGAAATAACTCTATAATAATACTTTTATTGCCTTGCACTTTCCGATCAAACAGACTTTGCTTACTAAAGGAATGATGCGCTTCATATATTGCTTTCAAATTTTCTCTCTTTAAAGCTAGCAAAAAAATAATGGAACAGCGGGTTGCTCCCATCATGATATAGGTCTGAGAATCTATTTTTCCTTTACCTTAATTACTCTTTGGAATAATTGTGATTATAGTTTTGCAATGATTAATGTGAATGTTATAATGCATAAACTGAGATGCACAGGAGCAGAAAAAAGTACTTTATTAAATATGTGAATTTATTTGATTTTTGGAAGAAAAAAATAAGATGCGTTAATACTGGTGCTTAATAATAGACAATATGTTAATAGGCAAGCTGGCAAACTCACAGTTATCCCAACATGAATTCAATTATTTATTCTGTCCAACAGATGTCGACGAATGTGTTGAGGGTCTGCACACCTGTCATCCAGAAACAGAAATCTGCATTAACGAGATTGGCAAATACCGTTGTGAAGCACTTAGTATCAATGAAGTTGATTTTGGTGTTAACCCATATGAAGCTCTTCCTCGAGCCACGTTTCAGCCACCAGTTCAGGAGTGCGCTGAAGGCTTTGGTTATGATCTTAACACAAAGAGATGTCTTGGTAGATATATTGTTATTGTTTTATTATTGTTTAAAAGAAGTAGAATTCTTTAATACTAATGTTTTGCTGAGTGTGTTAGAGCAGTGTTGTCCAAACATTTTCGCCTATTGTACCCTTTTACCTTCTTGTACTGTTACGTTGTCCACCATGGCTAAACAAACTGTTATATTTAAGATAATGCAAATAATATACTAATTATGAAAAGACCATATTGCAGGAGTATTGGTCAATAAATTCGAATTGAATAAACGAATAAAAGAGATGATTTAATAACAAAATGCTTGAAAAATATTTACATAACTTAATGTGAGATGTGAGGCGTGTGTGTTCCTTGTTTGTTCACTTACCCGTATGATCTATGTTGCAGGGGTACCCCAGTTTGGACAACACTGTGTTGGAGGTCCTTTTCCATTTAACAATCATAGTGGGAAAATATATTTTGGACAACACTGTGTTAGAGATTCCTTTTCCATTGAACTATCATTGTGGGAATATATATTCTTATGAATCTAATAATTGAAAGCAATACATATTGTTTATATTACAATATTTTAGTAAACTAGACAAACACTGAAAATGAAAAATCTTTACAGATGTTGATGAATGCGGGGCTGGTCTGCACAACTGTACCTTGTCCATCGAACGCTGTATCAACACTCTAGGGGGCTTCATATGCAGACCAAGAAGAAGGTGTAATGCTGGATTTGCACCTGATCCAGTCACTGGAAGATGTAAAGGTAAATAAAACAGCAGAATTGTTCTGACCTGCAGACTGGAACCTATTCATAGATACTAGGAAAATAAGAGAAAAAAGAAAAAAGACACAGGGTATTACTCCACAAAAAAATGTAACAAAAAATCTTAATGAAATGTAGGTATTTCTAAGTTGCGACCTATATTGGCATTACAGAATAAATGCTCTCTTCTACATCCCTTGTAGACGTGGATGAATGCTTGGCTGGCGTGGCCAAGTGCCTTCCTGGCGAGATCTGCATCAACACCGAGGGAGCCTTTGAGTGCCGTGTTGAGTGTCAGGATGGCTTCAGATATGATCCTACGTAAAAGCAACAAAGTTTTATGTTACGTTTAAAAAGATACAGTGATATGTTATTTTAGATTTTTTTATATATCCCTTATATGCTCTTAATTCTTTGCTTATAGAGACCCAGCCGGTGTGTAGATATCAACGAGTGTCTTGAGTCACCGTGTAGACGTGGAACCCGGTGTGTTAACACTGAAGGCTCTTATAGATGCACTCTTTCAACTACCACAACTGCAACATCATCACCAGCTGTCACTACAAGCCCGGGACCAACTCCCTGTCCAGAAGGTTTTGGGAGAAATCCAAACAGTCTACAATGTGAAGGTAAAATGCAAGTTCTGATACTGATATACAATAGTTAAGAAAGAATGTCCATACTCATTTCTAATTCTGTGTCGATTTCATTCACTGAGTGCAGCGGTGGAATGAATACCTCCAAAGTCATAAAATGACCTTTACTTCTAGGGCAATTATCGGTAATTGGAACTGCAGGGCTTTCAGGAGTGCTATAAAAATCCGTGGCTAATCTCAAGCGTTCACTCGAAAGCTATATGGACAGACTGAGAATGCAGGAATGTGATCAGGGGTTTGCCTTGCTGTCACCAACCGATTTAATAGTACTCAACAATCAGATAATCTCTTTAGGACTGTGGGCCGCCTTCAAACGTGAAGTGGTTGTTGTAGTGTACAAGTCCATTGCTGGATGCTTAAAAAAAGGCAGATTTTCATTTCTGAGATACCAGAGACCACAGATGTGTTGCATAGCTTGCCTGGCGAGAGACCGCAAGTTACATCGAGCTCTTGCATTTAGGCCCCAGGCTCTGTTGAGGAGGGATGCGGAATAGCAGATCAAGCATCATGCTGAAAACTGAGTGCCAAGCCCTTCCCTTAGCATTCTGGGTTTCTAGAACAGTTGTCTCTAACTTATTTCACTCACGACCCTTTTGTATTTTTACGATACATCCGTAACTCCCTGACAACAACCGTTCCATTTACATTTTTATCAAGATATTTTTAAGCTATGAGAGATAAAAAACAGCAATCAGTACAGACATTACTTTCCTAATTGCAATACAGTATGTCTTGAAGAAGTAACTTCAGAGCATATTCTTAATATGAAGACTGAAGACCGCCTAACAAATTGTCAATTATATTTTCCTCCGAAGGCTTTGCAATCCCTCCTCTGCGACCCACCGCTTGGGAACTGATCGGGATCATAGTGGTGGTTCTCAGTTTATTTAGCGGGGGTGCAAAGGCCTTCTGTTTCGAGACTGGATTTGAATGGACCAGGATCTGGACTTACATGGTGGTCATGGAGAACCTGCCAGTCTATTTGTGTGCTTGCAATCAGAACCTCGAATTCACATAGCTTTGCATATCTAGAACGTAGTTTATGAACTGGGTTGTCGGACAAGGAAGTCCATAGGATAGGTTTAGTTGTAGGTGTATAATCACTTGCAAGACCCTGATATTGCTGGTTTGGCTGTATGGCAATAAAACCTTAATAACGTGCTTTGGCATCAGCTTTCTCCCTTCCCTGACATGCAAGATCGACTGGTTCTCCTACCACACTCAAACACCCGTGGTATAGAGCGATGGTAAAGAATCGTACAATAAACTGTAGTTATATAATTGGAATTACGATAACACGTCTCGGTGATGGTATTTTGCCAAGAGGTTATGCTTATAGTGACAGCCCCTGAAATGGCCTAAGGAATCGGGGAAATGGGATAGATTTGCTTGGATTCACTAGATAAAACAAGCAACCTGGTCTAAGTTATTTTCAGACTCCTAGTTGGACTTGCAATTATCGTAACATATGATATAATTGTGTTCTGTGAGGTTCAAGACTGCCGAAGCTCGAGATATCCTGGACATATTCAAGAACACTGCAGTTTGCTGCTATGGTTTCACATGAAGTGTGTATTTTACATATTTCTGTGCAAATCTGGTAGTGTTTGATTGCACTGGACATGTAATATAGTGGGAGGCGTTATCCCACTGCTTGGTAGGTGGCTGAGGCGGTAAGGCACTGGTTGGTGTCTTGAAAGGGTCTGGTGAAGTTAAAGTCGCCGCAGGTTTACATCTTTCTTGGTACAGAGGGGCAAGGCATAGCCCAGGGAAGAGCCGCGTCCTGCCAAGCCCGCGAGGGCGCGTGGTCTGTCGAGATGGCTCTGGAATTGCCATGAACAAAGTCCGTTTTTAACCATATAAAGGAAAACATGAAATAATATGAATGAACACAAATTTAGAATCATATGGTCACATGACGGTTTCGTGAAGAAGAAACCTTAGGTACTCTGGTATTTGAGAAAAGAGATGTTGATAAGAGGAAAAGCTTTATGATAAGAAGTACGTCGGTAGAATATTCGTGAATAATTGATATCTACAGTCTGTATAATGATTACAGAGGCAGTGATATATAGACACTGCATTTTCTGAGGAACATTTTGATTATATACACAATATGAGTCTGTATATAGGTCTAAAGTAATCAGAGGGATTGACGGTAAGGGTCGGAATTGCTTGCTCTGGAGGTAATTTGTCATTTACGTTAGTTTCATAGAGAAGATGAAGGCCCAATGGGACAAGAACTACTGGAATAAGTGTGGATGTTCTGCCTCCTGGACTCCTGTGTGCAGTGGACAGTTTGGTACATAGAAGCAGTATCAGACGGAAGGCAGATACTTTTACAATGTTGAAAGGATGCTGCGTCCAGATACATTTCACTCGTGAGGGGATGATGGCGTACCTTAACATCGCGAGGAGAGGGTTCTCCTATAATATGGCACCCACTGTCATCACTTTGTGGATGTTCACACAAACTGTCTAGTTATCCTGGTACAGACCAAAGGGCCGTAAAGAGGACGAGGGGCTGCCAGTGAGCCACTTTGGAGAAGTACTGTTCCTTGATTCTCCGATTGCACTCTTCAGCTTCTGTGATCAAATAGTTATATTAATTTCGTCTGATTAATGATTGCATATCTTACTGTATGTTATTACAATTGTCCTTGCATTCTGAGAATATGTTTATGCTGTATGTTTTTAATTAACAAGAACCGTTAGTATCTTTTATACTGTAAGTGGTGTTTCTCCAAGTACTTGATACTCGGTGAAATGTCGTACGGCTGGTTTGTTAAGACTGTGCGAGGCCCGACCCAATGAACATTCAATATACAAACATGCATATACATAGAAATAAATGCATATATATATATATATATAATATATATATATATATATATATATATTATATATATATATATATATATATATATATATATATATTGTGTGTGTGTGTGTGTTGTGTGTGGTGTGTGTGTGTGTGGTGTGTGTGTGTGTGTGTGTGTGTCTGTGTATGTATATATATACATTATATATATATTTTATATATATATATATATAATATATATATATATATATATATAATATATATATATATATATCTTTAGAACTGCTTAAATTCATGGGTTTATGGGGGCTTCGCCTCCTGGTCCCACACCAGGGCACTGCCCCTGGACAGGACTCTCTGACTATTTTTTTTTTTTTTTTACCTACTTTGCCTCCACTTCAAAAGGCCTTCCAATGCCTATGGTAATTACATGATTCTCTTCTTCAACAGATATTGATGAATGCCTTGAACGAGTTTGTGAGTCAGAACAACTTTGCCAAAATACCTATGGCTCATATATTTGCATTTGGCCCCATGTGATGAAGGTTACCGGAGGGATCCAAATACCAACGTTTGCCGTGGTACAGTATTCATTTTTTAAAGTGTAATAAGTAAAAGTAGCTTCTGTGGATGCTGCAGAATTATCATATCTTAAATAAATAATAAAATGAAAGTAGAATGTTAATGCTTACCAGATGTTTTATAAGTAATTTTGATGCAGATATTAATGAGTGTGATGAAGGAAGTGACACATGCCAAGTTGGTGTTGAGGAATGTGTCAACACACAGGGAGGCCACACATGTCGGGCAAAACCATGTCCAGTTGGAAGAAAAAGGGATCCTTCAAACCCTAGACGTTGCACTGGTGAGCATTTCCAGAGTCTTGAACACCAGTGTAGATACTGTGATTGTGTATGAATGTTTTCAGCAGAAGCATTTTATTGTTTTTTCTTACTTTAGTTTCAAATTGAATAGAAATAACATGAGATCTGTTTTAGAGATACAGGATGTATGATTGTATGTTTAAGCTGTAGCTTTCAGCATTTTTTGAGAAATTATTAAGCACCTTTTTATGACTGATATATCTATTTTTATTATGTTGCCTACACCATCCATTTATGACAGAGCTTTTATTGGTTGATATTTTGATATTTGAAGAAAAAAGTGTCTATTATCATAAAACTTGTGTCTGCAGTCATAACAGTATTTCAAAATACAGCAATACAGTTAATATCTGTTTGAATTTCCCTTTTTTCCTTGTGAAAAAAATTTCCTCATTCATTTTCAGTAATTCCATAGTAAGTGGAGAATATAATATCTTAATTTTCAGATATCAATGAGTGCGAAACAACACCCTGTGGGCCAGAGGAGCAATGCATTAATACATTTGGGTCTTATCAGTGCCGACGCCTAGCTCCTTGTCGTCCAGGCTTCAGAAGAAATAGTGAAAGCAGGCAATGTGAAGGTGGGATTATTATTTAATTGAGACTAGCAATATAGACTGTATCTAAAACTGTATGTTGACATGATTGGGATTTTCTTTTAACACTATTTTAAATTCTTTCAATTTAGACATTGATGAATGTGAAGAAAATGATCTCTGTGAGGAAAATGAACGGTGTGTGAACACGAGAGGAAGCTACAGATGTCGTACTCTTGAATGCAGTACAGGATATCAGCGTGACATATTTGGACGCTGCAGAGGTTTGTCATTAGTAGAATGCAGTAACTTTAGGAAGGCATAAGAAAGTGGGCAACATATCCTGTTTGATGTGAAGAAAACAGTTATTTTTCTATCAGCTTGGCAAATTATACTATATATTAATGTCTAGCTATTTTAGATAAATGAGCAGGATTTTTTTTTCTTTTTAAATTTTTTTCTTGCTTTTAACTTGAATGTATAGTGTTTCTTAATCTAGCTAGTAATGTTTTCCACAGATACAAAATGCATCAGGAGAATGATTTTGAATTGTCTGACACAGTAGGCTTAGAAAATGAAAAAAAAAAAAAAAAGGGATTGATCTAGAAGAATAGGAATTTATTAAAAAGGAAGTTATTGGTATTTACTGTATAACTTTTGGGCTATGAACAGTGGTCAGGATATTATAGAATAATATATTTGTAAAAAGAGAACATGCTATAATGCTGTTTTTTCAGATATTAATGAATGTGAGACTGGGGAACATAATTGTCATGCTTCCAAAGAGGAATGCATCAACACACAAGGGAGCTTTAGATGCAAGATTTTGCCAAATTGCACACAAGGGTTTATAAGGGATCCAGACACCCAGAAATGCGTTGGTAAGCATTCCTGAATTAGTGCCTGTACAGATATTACTTGTTCCAAAATTACTAGAACATATTTACTTATGAACCAATTACTTACAACTGGTTATTCATTTTGTAACTGTTAGGTGATGCTTAATCCAGCTTTTATTCTGTGCTTTTATTTGAATAGTATTCTTATTTCTAATATTGATATGTTGTCCTGATCACTTATCTTGACTGTGTGATAGATTTGTATGAATACTAAATTCTATGACAAGTTATTATTACGAGATTAATTTTACTAATATATACAAAGCTAGAAGTGTTTACTAATGTGATTTTATGTTTGAGCTTTTCAGAATATTAATAGCATGAGCTTCATCTGCACTGAAGTTCTTTTACATTCTGCAGTGACTGATAGGTATCTTGTAATTACCAGCTAATGAAATCTTTAAACTTATTTTACTAGTTGTAGTAATATAAGCCTATTTTAATTATCAGTAGAAATATAGCTGACATCATAATCTTTGCTCTCTATATGTTCTAACTGCTTTTGATACTTATTTTTATTTCCTACGCAAATGCATTATCAAAATTAGCGTGGGATGAGTTTAGATTAGTACATATATGTGTTCCATATTAAAAATATTCTTGGTATTTATTTGTACAGTATGTATCACTGTAAAATTTAGCAGTAATCATGTTTAAAATGAGCCTTAAGATTATTAGCAGAAGATTATGTCATTTCAATGGTATTGTTTTAATAACTGGTCATTTTGAGTATTTTAAACCAAAAAGTTCAAGTTGTAATTTTTAAAGAGGAATAAATTTCTTTCAGTTATATTATTTTACATATGAACAAAATTTCACTTTTGATTTTCATCTGCCAACACTCAACTGATAGATGTTGACGAGTGTAAGGAGGGGACACATGATTGCCGTGGTGGCGAGAGATGCTACAACCAATACGGCCATTATACCTGCAGTGGCTCCCCAGCTGATTGCACAAAAGGGTTCAGGTACTCGTCTTCAGATAGACGGTGTCATGGTATGTACTGCTTTATACAAGAGTATCATGCTTTGTTTCCCTTTAATATATGATTTTTCACCAAAACATTTTACATTTACTGTCAATGTTTGCAAACATGGAATATGCAGAAGTGTTGGTGCATATTAATCTATATAAATAGAATTTCCTATGCTTCTGTGGTTCGATTGATAAGTTTCTTTTTAGTATGATTTAAGTATTATGTGAAGTCTTGCATATGTTATGTATAGAAGCTGTTTTTGTGGGTAGTATGTTGTTCTGTCTTTACTTTAAATGGATTTTATAGCATTAAATGTAAGTTTCAAATCATATGCAATTAGCAAGTACTGGTAGTCAAATATACAAACCACTGTTGAAGCTGAAAACACAGGTATGTGGCAAATGTACTCATTTTGATGAATATTGTTGATTTTAATTCCATATTAGCAAAGATGATTATGATTGATTACAAGTAATGGTACTTTGAAGTGAAATAGTGTAATCATGGTATTACCTCATAGTTAATGAAGGAATTATAATGCAGAGGAAAAAAAAAAAAAAAAAAAAAAAAAAACTTTAGCTGTTGTATGTATCCAGCAAAGTTTTTTTTTTCACCAGTGTATATATTACCAATTTTTTTGTCAATGATGTTTTTATAATGTTTTCATCTTTTTTAAACAAATGCATTTTTTGTATTTTCAAAGATATTGACGAGTGTACTGAAAATATTGACTCCTGTGAATGGTCCACACAAACATGTGTCAACACTGTGAGCAGTTATAGGTGCATTGATCAACAACCAACATGTGACTTTGGCTATAGGTATGACCATGAACAGAGGGCATGCATAGGTAAGTGCTTTTGATGCAGTGTTTTTCATGTAAATATCTATGGTAGTTATGTCTGTAAAAAGTAAGGGTACAGTAATTTGGATAATTTGCCTTGTGGAATTTATGTTATTATTTTATTATATGTGATATTGTAAGTGGGTTTTAAGAAGACAAGCATGAATGTTAAAAATGTATACTTATGGAGTCTGTGTTATTATTATATATGAAATTGTTTGTAGTTGCTTTGCAGAAATAAAGTTTTTAAAAAGAAGCATGAATGTGAAAAAATATACATATTTTACTAGGAAATGGAAAACATTTCTCTGCTTTTAAAATGACCTTCATTTATACTTGTTTCATCATAGATATAGATGAATGCGGTGAGAAAAAAGATGATTGTGAGGATGGTCAATACTGTGTTAACACTTTGGGATCCTATCAGTGTCACACCCATGGGACTGCTAGCCAGACATGCCATCCTGGATTTACTTTCAATAGGACAGCGAGAGTGTGCATGGGTCAGTTTGTCTGCTTTTCAGTAGCATATTTACTTTCTCATATATTTTGTGGTCAGTTAGGAATCATATTTATTTTTGATCTGCTGAGGGTATGTTCAGACTGTTTTGGGTCAACATAGTGGGCTTGCTGAGAATTTTGATTTGACATAATGACTCTAATTTTACTCTTGCCATGCTTGAGGACTTATCATTCACAGGAAGTGGCAGAATTTGAGTGTCATTTTATATCAAAAGGTGGAGTTACAAAGAAAGAAGAATAAAGGCACTAAGGATATTTGAGCAATAATGTCACACATGAACCAGTCATTGTGCAAACATTTTCCTAGTGATCCTACTATACTTTAATTCAAAAAGTATGGAGATGCCAATTTTACATATACTTATTCTTCATGACTGATGTATATGCTCTACCTATGTCTCCTTATTACTATGTCATACATATGTGGAAATAAAAATTACTGGGACACCATATTTCGGTGATGAAATTTGCTAGTGAAAGGTGGGGTTTGCAATGTAATTTTCAATTTGTTTGGAGTTTTCTTTGCTAGTCGGTTAAGAAATATTAAAGTTCCAGTTGTATTTGTAATTTGAATATGTCATATTTTACTCTTGAAGTATGTCCTTCATTGTAATTACTAAAGATTTTTTAGCTTAGAGTTAACTATGATTTCATGTATGATTATCAACCAGTGTTATTATTATCTTATAAGATTATTATATCCAACTGCTGTTTGTCTTTATTTGCAAATGAAGATATTGATGAATGCTCGGAGGGAATTCATGATTGCTCAGCATCAGAGGAATGTGTCAACCGGAGAGGGGATTATGCTTGTCGCCCAAAAGAGGAGGTGTCCAATTCTGTAACCACAGTTCCAAGCAGGGAAAAGGAGGGTTCTGACACTAATGAATTGGATCAAACACAGGTGAAGATTATAGGGTAAACAGTCCAAAATATTTTCCAAGGTGATAGGAAGGCCTTATTGAGTTGTTTTTAGTATGAAATGTCATGTGCAGGAAAAAGTGATTTTTCAAGCTCTTAATAATATTCAGTAGAGCTGTCTGCAATTCATTGATACATTTTTTTTTTTTGTGGTAGGAAACTATTCAAAGGAAAGAGGATTATTTAAAGGACAATACAAAATAAAATCTTTGTTTACACACATAAAAGCTTTTGACTAGAATTCAGATGATTCAGTAGTATGAATATTTAATTTTGTGCTATCATTCCACTGTGGGGTGTAATATGGAATCCTTAATGATTGTATCCTCCAAATTATTTCAAGGAATCTAGAAGCAAAGTTAAGTTGAATTTTACATTGGAAGATCATTCCCATATTAATTTGAAAATATCAGTAATATATATCTAGTGCAGTCAAACTTATCATCAGAGCCTCCTATTAAAAGGACAGGGAGAAAAATAATTTTTTTTACTAATACCTCTGTGAAAACTATGCTAGGACATAACCTTATTTTGAATCAGATAGGAATAATTATACAATGCTGTTCTTGTTATCAGTTGGATACAGACTTCAGAATTGCACTGTATAATTTACCAAATTAATACATGATACATCTTCAATGAATAGTAAATGTGGATGCTAGAATTATTTGATAGAATTTTTCAGTGTTTTACCTCTTTTAAATATCAAACTGGTGGCCCCTACAGGAGTCTGGAGGCAGTGGCAATAGTAAAAGACTTCGCTGCCAAAATGGTTTTCGTTACAATAGAAGACGAAGGGTTTGTGTAGGTATGTTGAATCCACTGCTAAATCTGACGAAAACTAATATTTTAACCAAAATGACTAACTGATTGTCTTTGAACAGTGAAAATGAATGGGATTTTAAATTGATTTAAGACTAAAAATGTTTGTAGCAAATTTCTGACAAAAACATCAGCAGAGTACTTTTGATATCCTGTTATTCTGATAAGTTGAACTAGATATTTGGAGTAGCTATTTATTTAGTTTAGTGAACTAAATTTTCCATGAATTACTGAACTAACACAAGCCATGTGTTTGTTTCATGGCAAATCTTTATTGATTATTTTTTTTTGTCAATTGCTGAAAAAATGAGTGCTTGTTATACTGAAAATTGCTAATCTACAGTATATACTGGAAACTACCTAATACATGTATAAAAGTCCACCTAAATTGCATGATGAATTGATTAAAACCTGTGTATTCATTAACCAAAAATATAATCTCCAAAACACATTTCATATATTAAATAGATATATGGAAGCAAAACTTCAAATACCAAAATGTTCAGATACCAAATGCTCTTTTCGAGAATTAATTCTTTGCTACCAATACAACAGAAAATGGCAGTCTGAGGCCCCTATTATTAATGACTATATACATAGCTTTGTTAAGATAGATTATGGATTTCATTAAACAGATCAACTAGTATGTTTCTGATGAAACTGATTGAAGAAAAATTTATGTTATGTCATGCATAACATAACACAGTACACAATTAGTATAGCATTTACATATGAATGAACCATTGTTTATGTTCTTATTGACCTTTTATGAAAAGTGCAGTACTTCTGCATCAAAAAATCCTCTTTTTTGAAACATTGGTTAGAAACACTAGCCTATAGTGCATACTCAATTTGGAAACAATTAATATTGCAGTCCATGGGATAAGAGGATTCATATTAGAACATTATACATTAAGAGGAGTTATTAGAATAGGCTTGAATATATTATAGAAGGCATCATTTCTGTTGAAATTACCTGCTTACAGACATGATGCATGTTGCAATCCAAAGACTTGGGGGGTTTATTCATTTTTTGATACCATTAAAGAATTATTGGTAAGTGTATACTGTACATATGTACTCTAAAGTTACTTGAAGTGCTTCAGACTAGTCAATGTGTAGGGCATTTATGTGTTGCTGTCTGCTTGCTGTTCTGGGTTTGAATATGATTCTGATAATGTATTTGTAATTATTTATTTTCTATAGGATGAAACTTATTTTGATTTTATGTTATATGCAGTGAAAGTTACAATGCACAATCTTTAGATATATTCTGTTACATTTTTTCAAGCAGTGAAAAGCATTATTGCTGAACATTCTAATCCTTCAATTTTGCAAATTCTAGTAATAAGCCATTTCCTGGTCCTCTCAGACATTAATGAATGTGAAGAAGGTCGAGCTATTTGCAACAAAATGACAGAGGTCTGCATTAATACCAAGGGTGACTACTGGTGTGCACCTGCACATAAACCTGTGCGTGCCACAACATCCTCTACCACAACCATCACCTCTACCACACAACCACAACCACACTCCTGCCCCTCCACCCTTCCTCTCTCTCAAGCTCCTCAGTGTCCACCCGGGACGTTATATAATACAGCTTATAGAAGCTGTAGAGGTAGGTATGATGGTTGGGCAAATAGAAAAGGATGTAAAATTAAGGTATTTCCAGCTTTTTTTATCAAAAGTAAATAAATGCCTTGAATATTTTTCACTACAGATATTGATGAATGTAATGACAACCCATGCAGTAGAGAATTTTGAGGTCTGTGAAAATACCCAGGGCTCATACAAATGTTCATGCCGGGAAGGTTTCCAAAGAAGTTCATCTACTGGCGAATGCATAGGTAAGCATAGTATCAATGTTAATTGTTTATATTTTGCTAATAGTTATTGCACATCTGCTTATATGTCTGTAAATATTATATACAAATCTTATAAGCATACACTGTAATAATACTTTTGCCCATCTATTTAGTGTTACTTTAGGTAATAATACTTTTAGGTAAAGTTCTGGATTGACAGATACTGTCAGTAAAAATGTATATGGAAATATTTAAGGGTGGAATTATATAGAGGTATGAGTGGAAAATTGATTCAAATTTGTAGAAGAATCCAAAGCATTATCTACATTTTCTTTGATTAGTGTCAGTCCAGGCTTTTGAAAACTAATAATCTTCTTACAGATCTAAATGAATGCCAGCTTGGTTTACACAACTGTGAAACAACACAAAGATGTGACAACACTATTGGCTCTTATGCTTGTATACGCATTGCTGGATGTGGTACAGGATACACTTTGAATCACAATACAGGAGAGTGTGATGGTGAGCAAAATAAAAGCAACATAGACTTTGATAATGATATAAAAGGGTAGACAGCATTTTATATAAAAGGATAGGCTTCTTTCTGTACTTACTTCTGTAGAACTAATTTGTCGTGAAGCCCTTAGTTTTTTTGCGACTTACAGATGGACTCTATCGAGAGACATGTTATTAGTCTTGAATCCGTTATTTATTTGTGATTAAATTCTTTGTAGTGTACCAGACACAATTGCTAATTGATGATGAAATGTTTTCAATATATTGGTTCATTTATGAATATCACTGACTATTGTCATGATGCATAATTGATTGTGAAAAGATAACTTATTGACACTGCATACTAATGCTCTATTGAATGCATATAATGATCGCTTTTCTGCTTAACTAACTCCTGCATGAAGATGATGATGAGTGTGAGCTAAATACTCATGACTGTGATCAGCTGGGGCCAAAGTATGAGTGTTTCAACATAAAGGGCTCATTCCGTTGTGTAAAGAAGATATGCCCAAATTTACAAGTCCTCAGCTTTAATGGAACATGTGTAGATCTGGCATGCAATCCTGGCTTTCAGCCTGTTCAACATGGGTGTATTGGTAAGTTTAGGATGCGTTTTTCTTTTTAAATTAATTTTCCCTCTGATTATAGCTTCAAATAATAATTTCTGGCTATGCTTCTTAACCATGTACTATATTCTAATTAATTTTTTTTTTCTAGAATATGTGATGATGATGATGATGATGATGATGATGATGATGATCATATCAATCATCATGAATCATCATCATCATCATGATTATCATCATCATCATCATCATCATCAATCATCATCATCATCATCATCATCATCATCATCATCATGATCATCATCATCATCATCATCATCATCATCATCATCATCAACAATCATCATCTCATCAATCATCATCATCATCATCATCAATCATCATCAATCATCATCAATTATCATCATCATCATCAATCATCATCAATCATCATCAATCATCATCAATCATCATCATCATCATCATCATCATCATCATCATCAATCATCATCATCATCATCATCATCATCATCATCATCATCATCATCATCATCATCATCATCATCATCATCATCATCATCATCATCATCATCATCTTAGATAATTGAGTTACATCATCAGTATATTTTGATTAAATATATGATCTTGACATGAAAATGTGTCTCTCCAGAGCCTTTTATTAGGAGTAATTGGTATAGATTTGGTGTATCTCAAGGATTTTCTAAAAAAATTCAAATGCATATATTTCTCTGTTTATCTATTTTGGAAATTTGAATATATTGTATTGTTAATTGTTTTTTTCCTCTTCAAAACTTTCTATCCAATAGATATTAATGAGTGTGAGGAAAGAATATCTCCTTGCCGACGTAATGAAAGGTGCCTCAACACCCATGGGTCGTACCGCTGCCGCCCCCTTTTGAACTGCGGGGTTGGAATGAATTAATGAGATTGGAAATCAGTGTGTTGGTAAATGATTTTTTCCTTTTTTTCCATTTTTTGGACAGTGATAAAAATAAGTGAACATTATAAGCATGAATGTATAATAATAAAAAATACCAACTGAAGCTCTCAACTTATTATTAGATCTGGTATTGCATACACTTGCAACATACTTTCCATGTTAACTGGTAGTCTGTATGTCTGCTTTTTAGATATAGATGAATGTGCTGATGGTAGTCATCAGTGTACAGGAAATCAACTGTGTTCCAATCGCCAAGGCAGCTACATATGTCAGTGTCCTCCTGGTTATAGACTCAATAGTTTGCGACAGTGTCAAGATGTAAATGAATGTGAATCTTACTTCGGGAATGTATGTATTAACATTTATTTTCTTGGTTTTGAAAAATAAAAAGATATATATATGTATAAAAACACACACATGGGCATACATGCTTATGTAAAAGCAAATATTCATACATAGACACAGAATCAGACAGGTGCACACATGTACCAGAAATATACTCATGCTTGCACACATACATATGCACAAACACAAATACAATGAGTTCTCGACTTATGACGGAGATCTGTTCCTACAATGGTGTCGTAACCTGAATTTTGATGTATGTCAGAACACACCTTAATGCAATACATGTATGTATGTACATAAGCACTGTAGTCATTCACATATGCTAATGCAGTATGTATACATGTATTAAAGTCATAATCTGAAACAACAAGACATTCCTATGACATACATGAAAACATAACTAGGGCTAACACGCGCACACACACAACGCACACGCACACGCACACGCACACGCACACGCACACGCACACGCACACGCACACACACACGCACATACGCACACCACAACGCACACGCACACCACACGCACACGCACACGCACACGCACACGCACACACACACGCACACAGCACACGCACACGCACACACCACACACACACACACACACACACACACAACACACACACACACACACACACACACATACACACACACACAAAATCAGTTAATCAAATTTAAAACTTAGCAACATGAGAAATGTGTTTCCCAAACAGATATGTTCAAATACAGCCGTGTGTGAAAATACAGAAGGTTCTTACCGCTGTAACTGCAAGAAAGGCTTCAAACACAAAGCAGATGGGCTTGCTTGTGAAGGTAAGGATGACTACTTTTTTTAAAGTCATGGAGGAAGTTCATTGATTTTAATGTTTGTGATAGCACTGGTGTAATGATTTAGAAGAATGATTTTCTAAATTTCTCTAAAACTTGCACCTTATAGATGTTTTATTAAATATCATTTCATTAACATTAGAAACCCTTAAGGATGTGGCTATGGTATTATATTTATTGGGATGTTATAGATACAACAGTAATACCAGTTATTGAACACTGATATTTCCACTGTATCTTTTTTAAGATGTGGATGAATGCACTGAAGTGGACGGAATCTGTCATCACAATTGTATCAATGTTTGGGGGTCATATCAGTGTACATGTCAACCAGGATTTACCATTGCAAGGGATAACAGGTATGTGGAAAGTGTGTAGTAATATGATATATTTAATTTTTTTTCTTTATATTTTATATTATCAGTCTAGCTTTTGGAAGCATCAATTCCAAAAAGAGGTAGACATCTTACTAATTACTACACATTTCTTTGTGTTGGAATGACTGACTCAGAGGGAAGGCAGAAGATAGAAAAATGAATTGTTATTAAGTGGATACATGTTACTATAATTTAGTTTTGTGGTACTAAATAGCTATGATTTTGATGTCATTCATGTTTACAAATAAAAAAAGTAATAAGCTTAAATGATTTTGTTTAGATCTG